TTTTTTGGTGGTTTATATCAAGGGTTAATCCTCCCCCCACCAAAAAAAAAAAGTTTGTACCTTAATGTGTGCCTTATTTAAATAACCAACCAAATACCAGTAAAACTTCTACGTTTCACTCTCTTGCACAGTCCTACCCCCTTAGGTGATTGATCACGAGTCTCAAATATGTTGCACTCTGAGCCAAATTCTGCAAGATGCTGAGGGCAGATATTGCTTCTTGTACAGAAAATGTTCGCACATTTTGAGAGTTGAACCCATGAGAAAAACAATGCATGACTTTCAGGGGCTGGGTATTCCTGGTACAGAATGACTTCAGGCAGCACACTGCATTTCATGAAAGCTTCAGTAGAGTGCCCTTGGGTTCAAAAAAGGCACTATGTGTGTTTAACAGAGCAAGTGTCTTGGGGACTCATTGGTGCTCAGAATTGTTAAAGGAAAGATTCCTCCATTTAAAGAAAAATATATGTAGAACTCTGAAGTGGATGTTTATTAAGCATATTGCTGAAGTTTGGTGTTTAAAAGAACTTGTCAGGCCACAGATCTTCACCATTGCATCTAATCATCTGAACAAATCAGATAATGTGGCAGAGGAATATGTATCTATTCTCTCCTATCTTGGCCATCTGTGCTGACAGTTCCTATGAAAAGAGAAGCTAAGGTACTCCAGAAGATGCTTTCAAAACAGAAGAAAGAATGGGTACAGAAGTTTTATGCAAACTATTGCTCAAAGCTAACCTATTTACGCCAAATCCTGAGCCTATTGAGGTCTCTGGCAAAACTCCATTTGACTTCAGTGCAACCAGGATTTGCCCTATAAAAATATTCTATTGAATTACCAGCTGCTCAACTCAACTGCCAGGATGGAAAGCAGCTCTGTGCAGGGTATATTCATGAGATGGATTCAGACTTTATGGTGGAGAGAATTCCAGTCTCAGCGCCTGGATCTAAACTCTCTCAGTATTACAGCTCAACTTATTAAAGTTCAACCCTGTCCAAGAGAAACATATTTGTGAGTCCCTCTCCCCCAACAGCATTCAAAGCATATTAAATCAACCACTTTATCCAATGTAGTCTAATTTTTTTTATAGCTATGAAGACACAGAGACACATTCATGGGCAGACCTGGGTGGAGAGACAGAGCCTGGTACTTTGCTTTTTGTCAGACTTTTGTGGTGATTTGCAGCTGAGAATTCCATAGAATATTTTCTTAGGGCCAAATCCTGCTCACGCTAAAGTCAATGGGTGCTAACTGCAACTCATTCAGCAGACTCAAGGTAAAACACTAAGTTGCCATTCGCCAAAAAAAGTAAACCCTGTGAAAAAGAGGAAAATTACACTAAAAATGACAAAGGAAACCTGCCTACAGTTTTGTTCAAATCTTGATGCCTCTTTTTCTATGGGGTTGGAAAAGATACAGCAGTATGTAGTACACGCCCATTATTTAATGCTTGGGCTTTTCAGAAAGATATGGGAAGGGTTTAAGCCGCTCAGCCTCTGAGAGCTTTTAGTAGCTCTATAGTATGAAACAAGATGTTGTATATACTACCTTTGAACCCTTAAGGACGGAGCTTTATCCTGAGCAGCAAGAGTTCTGGATTCAATTCCTTTTCTGGAACTACCTTGCTACACCTCTTTTGGTCTTTTTTTGCCTACCTGCATAATTGGGATACAACTAACTTGCTTCTTTCAAATGCTTTACAGGTAAGTATTAAATACACCCCTATATAAATGGAGAAACATGGTGCTGGGCTGGACGCCTAAAAAAAAGTTTCGACAGCCTGCAATGGGGAGTAAGTATGAACATAGGACCGGACAGGACTTTCTGAATCAAGTCTACTGCAGGCACCATTATCATATCATTCCTTTCATAAGTGTATTGAGCTGCCTCTTAAAAGCTTCAAGTTTTTGTCCCCACTATACTGAGAATCTGTTCTAGATAGGAAGCTTCTAATTTTCAGCCTAAACTGACTTGTGGCCAGTATACATATTTGTTCTGATGCCATCACTGTCCTTTAACTTGAATAGCTCTTCTCCCTCCCAGATGCCTAACCCCTTGATTTATTTATAGTGAGCACTCATGACTCACCTCAGACTTCATTTTGCTCCACTAAATATGCCAATCTCTACGAGTCTTCTGACTTATGACAGGCTCTGCATTCTCTTGATCATCTCAGATGTCCCTCTCTGCACTTCTTCCAATCCAATGTCCCTTAAACATGGGTGACCACAGTTGTACACAGTCTTCCAGTCGAGGTTCACCCCAAACTGCATTAATACTTCCCTTTCTCATGTTTATGTATGACACGCATGAGACTTCTTTGCGCTACTATGGGTGAAGACAGCAACACGGGCTGCTGCTGACCGACTTAATCTATGAATCTATGAATCTATGACTGCTGTCAAATGGCATTGGCCATGCAGTTGTGCTGGAATGATAACTCCACAAAAGTGCTACAATCCCTGCATGATCTTGGACAAGTGACCTCTTCAGAATCATATTACCATTACAAAAGGGTATTTTGTGACACTAAACACGTAAGTCTGACTCTCCCCCGTGCCAAGATTGACTTAGCATAGGGAGAAGTGAAGGCAGCACGCAAAGAGCTGGGAGGGTCTGCCTGATTCTCAAACTGGTCCAAGCTCCATGTGAATCAGGACCATAGAAAATTAGGGTTGGAAGGGACCTCAGGAGGTCACATCTAGTCCAAACCCCAGCCCCAAGTAGATCATGCCAGCCAAGGCTTTGTCTAGTGTTGGATGATGAAGTACAGCATCCAAGGGGCTGCTCTAATATACTGCTCCAATCTGCTGTTCTGTAGGCGTGCCCCAATGTCCTGTCTTGACATCCCCTAGCACAGTGTTTCTCACCCCATGGGTCACAGCCCAAAAGTGGATTGCAAAAATATGTGAAAGGGTCACAAACAAACATTAGAAACGGATTCTCTTTTAAAGGAGAAAAATGTGGGGAACAGTGCGTTTCCCCTTGCAGGCTGGTAGAGTTCCAGCCTGCAAGGGGCTGCTTGGGGCTGTGGGAGGAAGGCAATCAGGCAGGGGGTACCATGTTCATGTGTGCACACATACACATGTGGCAGCCAGGCAGCATGGAGAGCAGCTCCCACAGCTTCCCACTGGTAAGCCTATGGGGCAGCGGGGCATAGATAATGCGTTGGTGGGGCAGGGGAGGGCACAGACAACGTGTTGGGGGGGTATGGAGGGGCATGTGCCCCCCCAGATTTGTGCACCCACAGCAGGCATGGAGCTACAGCCTGGCTGGACTGCAGGGCAGAACCCACTTCCACAGCCCAACAGGCAGGACCCAGCATGGGAGGGCAGAGCCAGGCAGCAAGACTCATTGCTGCTGTAGCTGGAAACCCTGCACCAGCTGTGCTACCAGTAATGTGAGGAGTACCAGATAGGGCGGGCATGCTGCCCTTACCTCCTTCCACTGCCAGCTGCTAGTACGCCAGGCTGTGACTCTACCCTGCCACCATGGCCCAGCTGCTGCTGCTGCTTCCCTCAGGCTGTGGCTCTATCCCAGAGGGGAGGTGGGGTGGCAGGCATTGTGGGTGGCCTGACAGGAGTGGTGGTAGCGGCTGGGCCATGGTGGCAGAGTAGAGCTGCAGCCTGGCAACCGAGTGGTGGGAAGTGGGAGCAGCGTCCACCCCCACCCATTATATCTCATGCTGCTGGTGGTGTGGGGATCCCAGCTGTGGCAGCAGCAGCAATAAGTCTCACTGCCTGGGGTAGGGGGCAGCAGGTTGGGAATGAGGGCACCAGTAGGAGCAGAGGGCTGTTTCCTACTTAAACTATTTCCTGGCCATCCATGTTTACAAATGGGTCCTGGTACAGAAAAGGTTGAGAAGCGCTGCTCTAGCAGCCTGCCGTGCTAGGCAGTTAAGTACCTTCCAGCTCCTTTAGTGCCAGGCCAGAGAGCTGTCCTTTGAGGTAACGCTCAAGGGGGCCAAGCAGGGCCAGATTCACTCTTGTGGCCCCAGAGCAACACGAGGAGGCTCTAGCAGGGCAGTGCTCAACCGTTTTAGACTTGAGGCACCCCTCTGTACATGCACGGCATGTGCCCCAGAGGCCGGGGGGCACAGCAAGCTCCCGCATGCAGTGGCGGCGCTGTCAGCAGTGGGAGCATGGCAGCAGCAAGCAGGGAGGCACCCTCTTTTCGCAGGGGGGCACTGCCACGCTCAGGGGGGGCACTGCCACACTCAGGGGGTGAATTGCCACGCTCGGGGGGGCACGTGCACCTGCATGCGCCCCGTACGCATCGCGGCGCCTCTGTAGAGGGCGGCACACCGTGCTGGACTCGGGACACCCCTCCAGAGGCTCGAGGCACCCCTGCACAGGGAGGCCCCTCCCTGCTAGGCTCGGGGCGCCTCTCCACAGACATGAGACACCCCCCCGCAGCCCCGAGGCGCCCCTTGCTAGGCTCGCGGCGCCCCGCCTCGAGGGGGCGCCCCCTGTACACTTGCCCCCCTCCCCCCCCGCCGGGGGACTCGCGCCCCC